GACCACGTTTATCAAGCCATTGCCTAGAAACGGCTCTATAGTCTGCAACATAAAGGACCAGAGAAAATTAACAAGATCCCAATATATTAAGTGCTGGAGTTGAGTGACTGGCAATCCTGGTTCTTAATCTGGAAGTTCGCATTTCAATTATTGACCCGCAGACAGACTATTCTAACTGGGAATCAAGCTAAGAATGTAAAAGTGTCACGTTTTGAATTCACATTCTGCCCGGCAATTTATTACTTAGGGGACAGTTGTTTCGTCTACGTGAACACTGCACGAAGCTGTACTTTGACCCGGGACTTCGATTGTAACTGAAGCGTCATAGACGAGAAGGCCATTTCATTATCTCTTAAAACCTTGTATTATTAGCTGCACTTTTCTTGACGGTGTTTTAAGAAAACAGGGCACACGTGTGGCCCCTTAATGCGTGATTAGTATTTTTTCTTCTTGTAAGTTATTGTCGCATGAAAAATTTCTAGGACGTGTGACGTAGTTTTCATAAAATTTGTATTTATACATGGCTGTTATAAATGATCCGGGTGATAAGAAATTGGCGTATTTTCGAAACGGTTATATATGCAAACATAAACAAACTTGTAAACAGTAAAGAAACTCATTACGTTTGATTGAATGTAACATATGACTCGCGAGTGGCGCTCCGATCACTATGAAAGGAAAATGGCGCTTCAGGTGTGAAAGGCACTGTTGCCGGTACATGACAGGTCGAGCAGGGCCTATTCATTGGCCCTCTACATTCTCCGACCTTACACCCTCCATACGACTTCCACAGATGGGGATCTGTGAAAGACCAGGTACACCAATTTCTGATGCCGAAAGCTTCGAGAGCGAATTTCACACACCATAGCCAACGTCCAGTGATTTATTTGTAGTATACATGAGGAGAATTCGAATATCGCATTGACAAGTGGAACAGATGGAGTCCTCTATCTATCTATCTATTGTTTAATAAATAAAGTAAATAAAGAGTCGTGATGTTTAATTTTGGTTTTAATGGATGTCACCAAACAGGCTTATAAGAATAATAATAATTCATACTTATTCACTTTTACATCAGCTATACGAAAATAGGAGCCCCTTAGATTGAGATACGTGGGAACAACAACAATTAGACACCACAGTGCTATAATCAATCTAAAATATTTCGATGCTGAAATGTTAACATTTTGATATATTAAATCCAAAATTTAATTTTGTAAAATAAAATAATATTTATGTATTAATAAAGTGTTCCAAACATATCCCACCTATATTTTCTTAGAAAAGCAGTTGACTGAATATCGCCCGCAAAGTTCCAGGCTAAAAACAGGCATAAATAACTCCCAACTCTAAATGGGTTATGTAATTATAGTATTATTATACGAACATCGACACAACAAATTCGTAATAAATAACCAAGGTTATTGTATTATCATTCATTATGTTATGTACATTTACTACATGTTTCGATCCAGCTGGATCATCATCAGGCAATTTTTCATCAAATATACTATTTGTTATTGAATTGTATTTATAATGTGGATCTGTATTAGTAAACATTAATATGAATTGCATTACAATACCTGTGTTTCCTTATATTTTGGATATTAGTCTTAAGATGTAAAACGCTATAATTCGGTTATAAAGTTAATTTTTTTTTTCCTATTATTTATCGTGGAGTACAAGTATATGGTGCTGTATTTTAGAGTAGATGGGTTTTCTGGAATCTAAGTTGTTTTTAAATCCTTTGTGGATCTGAAAAACAGATTGTAGATATTCTACTGTTGTTCAGTTTTGACTGTTGTATAGTCATATGGTGTGATGTAAATGGTTACTTACTTATTACGTGGCGGTTTTCCGCCTGTATATGAAAATCAATTATATTCTCCTTTTTGGCCACGGCGGTAAAGTTATTCTGTTATGAGAGTGGATACTTTAGTGGGGGTTTTATGTGTTACATGTATTTTATTTGTTATTGCCTCTAACTTTGGTTACTTTTACTTACAAGCGAACTATACCGACCGAGCGACCGCCGCTTGTCAGCTAAGTTAGTGCCAACTTCAGCGGATAGACAGTGTCGCGTGGTCAGCGCAACGAATCCCCACGGCCATTAATTTAAGTTCCCTAGACCAGAGCCGTTATTTCATTGAAATAACCCCTCAATTATCCTCACGAGGCTGAGTGGACCCCGTTCCAGACCCACTACTTCTCAGAAAATCTGGTAGCCCCGGGAATCGAACTCAGACCTCTGGATTTGTAGGCAGGAACTCTGACCACTAGGCCACAGAGGCGGTCAAGCCGTTTCGCAATATATGACAAAAAATTAAACGGAGAAAATTTTGTGTTTTTTATCGCAGCAAATCAATATGAAATATAACGATATTTTGTTTGCGGTCCGTGATTTATTTCTCACTTAATTATCAAGAGTTTCCTCATATGATTTGTGTGCAGTGAAGCTATATACGCATCCATCTAACACAAGTCTATAGTTGTCACTTTTCGAAACCCGTCTTTCGTTTGCATTTTTTCTATCGATAACGCAATTTATCTTAAATGAGTTGGAGTATGGGCGTTACCCTTGAAGAGTGTTATCGTATAGTTTGGTGCAGGTCAAAAAAGTTATCATTCACACGTATAAAAAGTGGGATTGTATCTCGTTGCTTTGTTTCTGAATATTTGAAAAGTCGCTCTCTATTGACATGCATGGCGGCAGCAAGTGACGCACGAGATAGGATGAGAAGACATGTGCACTGTATTGTGTAACAATTTTACGTTACTTTGTACCGTCTACTAACTGTTCGAGACTCCCTTAGATAGTGTACCACAGCCAATGAGAATACTGGAAAAAATGAGAAACTTTATTTAGCCAATGACAAGATTTTATGGCGTAGTTTTACATCAGTCTCGTCGGATCGAATTATGGAACGAGAGATGTGTTGGAAAGGATTTGGAAGGAAGCGGTAGTGGCCCAATCGGGTTCAATCCCGAAATTTGTATGAAGGGACTGGATAAAGCCCCATAACCCTCAGTCAGTCTAGAGCGTTACCGCTACGTCATCCTGTTCAGTTCCACTTTATGAAAAGTTCGTGTTTAATTTACCACTAAATCAGACGTTTCATGTATAGTCAAAGTTCACAGTTTAAATCAACTAAACTTGACGAAATATGCGACTAGGACAATTAAGAATATATGGTAAAAGGGTACCAAATTAGTACAGGTAAATAAATAAAAAATATAAATGCAGCTAGTCGCTTAAAAAAGGATTGTGTTAAGCGGTTGTCGTTGAATGAATTGTGATCTTATTATTAATGTTATATTTGTAAAATACGAACAAAGGACATTTTAATAAGAGCACCATATAGGAACCGAAATGTGAAGGTTTTTTTAACGAGGACTCTGGAAAATTATAACTAATATTTACATACACAGAAGCTTTCCTGCATTCGGAACACAAAGCTTTTCATTAATGCTGCACTATAATCGTATTTCTGATTACAAAAATGTATTGTTTTATATAATTATATTAATAATATTTATTATCCAGAACTTTTAAAATATTTAAGTTTTTAAGAAGTTCCATTAATGATTAATTCTTCTTCCTCTAGCTTTACGGTTCTTGTAGTTTAGCCTTAGAATCCCTATTAATTATTAATATAATACTAAAATATTTATAAAAATAAAAATACCCTTCCTCTAAAGAGAACTTTGTTTCTGCTAGTGTGGAACTGCAGTTTCTTGACAAAATGACCGGTGAGACGGAAGAGAAAAGAAGGACGAAAATCCCTCTTATAGCTGATCTGTTTACTTTATTTTGCCTTGTTAAGCTCATCAAACGAGCTCTGGAATATATTGAATGGAAAGATTAAAATGTAAAATCGCGTTTGTGCCGAGGCACCAAAACGGGAAGTCTACTGAGGAATAGAAGTAAAGTTTTACCCATTTTTAACATTTACATTAGATGAAGGTGAATACATAGTAAATAATGTCTTTGAAGTCTTTGTGTAAGCCTGTTTCACTCACTAGCGTACTATATTTCTGGGGGTCCGGGCTGTCAAAATGTTTTTGATAACCCTGAGGTTATCCTCTCAACATATAGTTTCTTTAAATATATAAGATTTGAAGTATTCACAGCAAGTGAATGCATTAAAATCTTCTCGGGGCATCAGTCATGTCAATATTGAGCTAAAGGCCAACATTTCGCGATAGTACCTCGGTTGGGCCACAACCGCTTTTTTCGAAATCCTTTTTCTATTTCATCATTAATCCATTATAGTAACAACTGACTCTAAATAGTCTCGATGCTGGAAAAAGCGCCATTAAATAAACCACAGAAAAGAAAAGGGGAATGACCAGACACCATATGAATGAGCGTATCAGTTCGATGGCTCAGCCTCTTGATGACAGGAGGGCGGAATCAAGTTCGTTGGTCACCCATCCAACTCTGCGCCTCTCATCCTGTCGCTTAACCTGGAGTCCGCACATGTCGACTAGTTTTTGTCTTCCAATGTTGAACATTCTCCCCCTTTCGGTGTTTGTCCCTTTCAATCTTTTGAATGTTGGCAGGGAGTCGTAAATACTGTAGTGGTTGGGTTCCGCGTTTTACTAAGTTTTATGTTTGTTAATATCATTCGTATGTAGCCCTTTTACTGTTGGCTCCTTGACAAGTCGGTCTCTGTAACCTGATGTCATGAGGGAATTTCGTCAGGATAATCCACTTAAATGCAGTCTTCTGACCCTTCTGACGCTTCTGACACTGCGGCTTTGTCCGGCTAATATAACCATAGACGTCGGGCGTTTTCCTTATATCTTGTTGCAATCGATTGAAGTGTGCAGTGTTGTACACATTCTGTGCGAACGGTTCTCGTATACGCAATTCGTAATTCCTCCATACCATGTAGCCAAATTACACACATTTAACACACGCAAACAGACCCTGCACATCATTATTTTTAAACGCGCCCGGCTTTGCGCTCCGCTTGTGTTTTGTTCTACCTCTACTGGACCAATCAGCTTGCGGAATCGATTGACCTACAGTATGTCCTTCGTTGAAGGTTATTGGAGTTCGTGAGCCGGTATTCGGATCTGTGTAGTAAAATTTGGTAAGTTGCAGGTATTTATTATAATTTACTGAGCAGAAAGTATGCGTAAGAGGATGTTTTTTTGTACAGTGTCAATATGAGATCAAGGTATAGGTTTTATTTTATTTTATAGACGTTTCGTTATCCATAAAGCAGTATTACTACAGTGACCCTCCGCCCATGAAGGTTATTAACTGTACTATAAACCGGACATTTGTGCACTATAAAATTTAAGTTCATGAAATAAATGTCATTGCTCATTATGGGCATTTATAACAGTACAACCTACCCAGAACAGAACAAGTAATGAAGTGCCTTTTCTCGCAAGAGATGCTGTTGTAGAAAACAAATTGATAGTGTTCAGCATGATCTAGGTAACGGCATAGATTGAGCCTTATATTACATGCTTCATGTGTTAAGTTTTTCATATATTATAACAGAAATTTGTTAAGTTTTTTCTTCTCAGGCTTTTGGTACTCCTACAATTTCCTTGTAAATTATCTACAAACATGCCTCTCCTCAAGTGCTTGGCTCGTAGAATTTTCGACTCTCGTGGAAATCCTACAATAGAGGTAAGACAGAACAGTTTACATTTAAGGAATATAAAGACTAAGTTAAAATTTTTTATTGATGTTGTAATGCCTATTTCAGGTTGACTTGGTGACAGATCTTGGTTTATTCAGAGCAGCAGTTCCATCTGGTGCAAGTACTGGGATTCATGAGGCTCTAGAACTCAGGGATAATGACAAAAAGCATTATGTTGGAAAAGATGTCTCCAAGGCAATTAGCAATGTTAATACAATCATTGTTCCAGAACTTCTGAAACAGGTAATGAGCAGTATTTGGGTTATGTTTCTCATGTGTACTGGGCATATGATTCTGTTTTTTGTGATAATTTGTATCAGGGGACTAATATAATGAAATAGACCACTTTTCTAAATTGGTTTGTTAAATTGGATTATTAAAAAAAAAATTCCAGTTTAATATGAGTACCAATTTACTTGAGCAGATGCTCTGTGTTATTGGGTGTGCAAAAAGTAACATAACACACATATATTAATGGCTGTTTTATCATGTTACATATTGGAAAAAGGGTTGGTGAAAATTACTCCCATTGGTTGAAAATCTGCCTTTCCAGTAACTGACAATACAGTTTCCTTGTAGTTCATGAATATCTCATTATATGGCATATTGCTATCACTTGTATAGTTACACTGTTTGGACATTCAATAACTAAAAACAAATCTACTTCGTACAGTGGCATTGTAGTTCTGTAATCCAATTATATATGGAACCTTAAATTCGCTTAGTGGGGGGTGGAGTCCAACTGGGTCCACTCGGCACGGCAGCCACTGATTGGCCTATTGTAGCCTGCCCCGGGTGATTATGATGATGGAGAATTTGGTGGAATGAAGATTGGCAGGGGAAACCGAAGTACTCAGAGAAAACCAGCCCCAGTGCCACTTTGTCCACCACAAATCCCACTTGACTAGACCCAGGATTGAACCAGGGCTGCCGTGGTGGGAAGCCAGTGACTAACCATATATATGGAGCCTTACATGTGTCGCCCCTCCAGAGCCTCATCAGAGGAGCTTTTCTTACAATTGCTAAGGACCTTAGTATAATAAGAGATAGTCATAACAAAGCAAGGTAAAATTGTAGATGTTTAAATAATATTGATAGGATATAGAATTGGTTCAGTATGCACACTTCCACTACATGGCTTCAGCAGGATGTCCAGGCATTTAACAGGCGGCAACAACAGGGTGTCACAAGATAAGTGAAGAACTTCTTACTGCTAATTATGGTTAGTAGTTTGAACAGAAACCATTCTGAGCAATCACTGAACTTTCATAATTTCTTAAGAAGGATTTTATTCCTATTGTGTGTTCACATTGTTGATCATGAAGCTGCACTACATCAGATTGTACATTCTGCCTAGATCATGCCTCTCATACAGCAAAGTATGTGTTATTTTCTTTTAAATAAGAACATGGCTGATGAGGGGGCATCCGGTAGGCTAGTTGGTTGAGGCACTATGCTACAAACTGGAAGGTCGCAGGTTCAAGTCCTGATGAGGTGGATTTTTCAATTGACCTAATCCTTCCAGCCGTGCTATGGCCCTGGGTTTGACTCAGCCTCTAACAGAAATGAGTACTAGGAATTTTCTTGGGGAGTAAAGCGCGGCTGTCGCGTAAGGCTGACAACCTCACGGCCATTTTTGAGCCACTTGTCTAGGTAATGTGGGAGCCTCGACGTCTCATAACCCTATGGGCCTTCACAGCCTGTTACAGGGATAACTTTTCCTCTACCTTTTACATGGCTGATGAGACACGGAGATAGACACGGCATGAAAAGTTAAGCACAGTCTCTTATACCAGCCTTTCTTCAGGATTTCTCTGATATCAATGTTGATAGTCTTGGGTTATATTATTCTAATTGAGTCTGCTTTCTTTGAATCTGGTTACTGTAATTTTCATTATTTATCATCTTAGTAGTATTTTTTGAGGTGAGAGTGGGTATGCAGAAAGGACATGTGCTATAATCTGCAGATTTGTATTTGATATTTCTGTTTTCATGGTCTGTGACTTGTGAAGTTTGTTCGATTAGGTTAGGCTGCATTTCAGTATTTTTTGTCATTCAGTACAACTTTCTGGCTGCCATCCAGATGATAATCCTCCTTCCAGTTCTTGTTATAATGCCACGTACAGTCATGCCACAGAGATCTAGTTGTTTGAACCTTGAATCCCAAAATGTATAAGATCAGGTGATCTGGATGGTCAAACATTGTGATGATCATGACCAGTCTGTTGTCCCTGTGGAGTTCCACTTCCTGCATTGCATGCTTATGTTAGTGTGGTGATGCCCTAACTTACTAGAAGGTGACGTGTTCCACCTCCGCATGTGGAACCTGATACTTCGGTGGAATTCTTAGGTACACATTACCACTTATGGTATCTGAGGAAAAGATGAGATCATAAACTTATAGCTTGGGGCTGTTACATGTGTATTATAACTAGGTTTGAATTTTCTGAATCCCATTTATAGCTTGTAGTGATTAACTTTACTAAATGATTGAAACACTGCCTAATTTCTGAGAACATTTTTATCCAAGATGAAATTGCCTCAACAAGGCAGTCAAAGATTTTAGAGCAGGATTTTCGTCATACAGATTTGTCATTTTTGAAGCTCGTGTATTGAAGCTTCAATCTCCTCTGTAGCAGCCATTATAGGTCATATGACAGATTTTGCACCCAGCTGATTGTGGGACTACACTGCAGTTTGTCACTGAACATATGCCCCTTCTTTGTTTATCAGAACTGTAAAGAATTCTGGCAAATTATGTAGGACACTTGCAGATGGATGTACTTGTTTCTGCTTTTCCATTTCCATACTTCATACAGAACCAAGAAACAAGTGTTTCTGAATTCCATCTAACTGCATTTTCGTTTGGTATCTGTACCTAAATTCTGCCATCTTGTTTCTTACTGACTGACAAAAGGATTTGTAACTTTGATGTTGTGTTAAGATGAATTTTTTGGCATAGAGGTTTAAATAAAATTTGTATTGTATCTGTTGAACCACAGGAACTATGTTTTCGATAATTTTGGTCTTGCGGTCTTAACCGGTGGTTCAAAACGAAAGAAAATGTTAGCCCTTTATTTAAAAGGCCGTAACACTTTATTATTGAGCAGTATGTATTCTGGGTTGTAAATCCACATAGTTCGGAGAGAACCAGATGTCACTGCATGCTGTTAAAACCGAGAAGACCTGCACCCTTTGTGGTCAGTGCTGTAAGGGTGTCAATTCTAATGCATTATTGCATGTTGTGTGTTAGTGTATTAATGATTTGGGTATGTAGGATTAGTATATGAATGTAACTTTGTGCATATTGTATTCTATGGTAAGACTGAATGTCATGCCTGCAGTGTTTAGCCAGCTCTCCTTGTTTTGAAAAGAATATGAGGAAGCTCAAGAGATCACCTTGCTCTCTGCGAATTTGTGTATCCATCCCTGATTTCTGAAAGCTGCTAGTTGTTTTGTTTATATCACTTTGAGGTGGACTGTGGAGATAACACCACTTCCAACAGGTGGACGGACATGTTGCTTTCTGTGCGACTCATATCAAATCAAAGGAAAGTAGGTGATTAGTTCCCTCCAGAACTTTCTAAGAGTATTCTCTAGTTCTTTCAGTTTACTGCAGGATTAATACCTTCATGTAAATCCCTTAGCTTTTTGTCTCCAAATTGTAGTTTGTAATTCTTCTTGCCGATTACGGTGGCCGCATGGTCAAAGGCATGAACTGTCTTTGCTTGCTCGAATGCAGGAATTGTGGGTTCGAATTCTACTCAAGGCATGGATGACTGTGCGCATTTATTCTGTATTTATGTTGTCCTGTGTGTAGGTAGTGGCCTTCGATGTGCTGATCACTCATCCAAGGAGTCTTACCAACTGTGTAAAAAAAAAAGGATATGAAACTGAAGAAGTGGCCAGGGCCCAACAATGGCTGTTGAGCCATTGATGAATGAATGATATCAATGAAAAATTATTTTTACATTGCAGTTGAAATTATAATCTCTACAACTGGTATACCATAATTAAGTAACCCACATTTTGTCGTATCCATATTGATGTTATTCCAAACTATGTTTATTTTTGGAAACAACAGTGAAATTATTATGTAAAGACTGAGGCAGGATAGAAAGCATAATTGAGTGATAACGTGTTATCTCCATGGGGACTACATAAGAAACTAGTTTGTGAGGCATACAGTGATTTATTATTCATATGAAGCAGTCTGTGGATCACTTCAAATATTGTAAATTTATTTTCTAACTGTTTCCTGGAATGTAATTTTATTTTTAGAATTTTGAAGCAACTCAGCAGACCGAGATTGACGATTTTATGCTGAAGCTTGATGGCACACCAAACAAGTCGAAACTGGGTGCAAATGCAATTCTTGGGGTCTCACTGGCTGTGTGTAAAGCAGGAGCAGCCAAGAAGGGTGTACCACTTTACAAGTATGCAGACATTTTTAATTTTGCAATTTGGTTCATTTAACTCATCCCAACTCTCCGTGTCTTTAGTCCGCATGCGAACTATACCGACCGAGTGACTGCCACTTGTTGGCAAAGTTAGTGCCAACTTTAGCGGCTAGAGGGTGTTGTGTGGTCAGCGCAATGGATCTCCACGGCCGTTAATCTCGGTTTTCTAGACCAGAACCGCTATTTCCTTCAAATAGCTCCTCAGTTATCCTCATGAGGCTGAGTGGACCTGGTTCCAGACCAACTACTTCTCAGAAAATCTGGTAGCGCCGGGAATCGAACCCGGGACCTCTGGATCTGAAGCCAGGAACTCTGACCACTAGACCACAGAGACCCATCCCACCACCTTAAAAAAAATTGTTTTTAAATGTGGCATCATCTGTTTTTATAGAGATCCACAACTCTAAGGTAGTCTATAAAACAGTCTTAAACAGCCTAAAAATAAGTTTGTAAGCAACTGTTCTAGGTGTCATGGTAGAACTTATCACATTTGCAAAGCAGTTTTACAGTCTATTTAGGTATAGCACAGTCTGTATAAAAGTGTACTCCAATTAGACACTTGATTACAGTCAGTATGTACAAATACACATACTGAAAATTTGTGGTCAGACACAAATTGTATTAAGTTTAAACATTTCTTAGTAATAAAATATGGGCAGAAAATGATGATTGTTTTGTAAATTGAACATTTTTGTAAATTCAATAATTAATTGTACTTCACTGATGTAAGCAGTTGAGTTGAAAGTTATATTAAACTCATAGGTACGTTGTTGAATGCAGAATATGCGTTTGTAGTTAGGGAAAGAAATGGTGGATTCTGAAGGGTTTGATGATGATGTGTAACTCTGTGGGTTATTGGGTTTTGTGGTTTTGTCCATTGTCCAGCTTTGTAACACAACATTATGGAAACTGGAACTGTTTCCATACTCACATGAGGGGTGGGAGACACCTTTTCTATTAGGTCCACAAGAAACAGCTAGTTGAAATCATTGCTGTTTCTGATGGACCCAACATTAAATTGTCCAGTGATTGGGGCTAGTGCTTTCTAAAGGACCCAACAGAGTAGATGCCTCCCACCCCCTCACCTGAGGATGGGGACAGGCCCAGTTTTTAGAATTTCGTGTTCTTTTTAATAACGGATGATGGACAGTGTCCAAAACCCCAGTAATTCAGAATGAAGCAATGGTGTAGTAATAGTGCTTTGCTTCTTTTGATTTCATTATTGAAAAGTGAAATGTTTTGATTGTTGTCAGGCACATTGCTGATTTAGCAGGAGTTAAAGAACTGGTTTTGCCAGTCCCTGCATTTAATGTCATCAATGGTGGCTCTCATGCGGGCAACAAGCTGGCAATGCAGGAGTTCATGATTTTGCCAACTGGTGAGTCTTAAAGAACAGACAAACTCTAAGTAAATCATTAAGTTGACAAATTTGTAAAACATTAATTTTGCCCTAAAGCAGTAAAGCTAAACCCTCCTGGACTCTCTTTAGCTGCAAGCGGACTCTTATAGCTGTGCCATGGACAACGCAGAGAACGCGGTTCTATTGTTGTGTAGCACAGACCACACAGAAAACAAGTCACATGATAGTTGACTGTTGCCTAGCAACAACTATAAACATTCATCCTGTTGTTGCATGCGCATATCACAGGGTGTTTAATTGAGCTGTTGGCTAGGAATGTGTTGACATGTCACAATATTTTGAACTTTTCATAGTTCCATTATTTCTCATTTTTAATTACACACAAGAGCAATAATAAAAGAAGGTGAACAAAGATGGAAGTTTAGAAATAAATTCTTATGATAATGAAATAGCCTGTTGTGACAGTAGTAGTGATAATGTTTTAGTTTGTACTGGAAGTTCATCTTTTTTATATTCACATGGTGACTGTATTGCCAAAAAAACACTTTCTTCATGGTTTATTTATACATTTTTGCAAATTTAATGAGGTTTGGTAATTGTGGCAAAGAATATTTCCACCTCATGCATCAGTGTTTTGTGAGGAATAGTGAGGATATTGGATGCAAATTCTGTGAATTATATTTCAGACTCAGAGCTGTGGCTTCAGAGATACAGAACTGCATATATTGCACATGGTGATTCAGAAATAATCATTGCTTTTGAAATAGCTTTCTGAGTATATGATTTTGTTTGGGTACATCAGTTGTGATAGAACCAGAAAAGCTCAGTTGGTATGTTGACTTTACTACAGGCTGGACAACTGGGGTTCAATTCAGAGTAGGGACAAGAGACTTCTCTCTACTTCATAGTGTCCAGACCGACACTGGAGCCTGCCCAGGGGGTACCTGGGGGTAAAGTAGTAGGGGCATGAAGGTGACCACTCACCTCCATCTAGTGCCAAGGTCAAGAATGGTGGAGCTGTGTCTCCAATTGACATATGTGCTTAATTATGTAATTAAGTACTGGGATAACTTTACCTATTTCTCTTTACATGTTATACGTGTACCTTTTTATCTTTAAGTCAGTTGTGATGTACATTATGCTAGTAGTAATCAGAAGTCTAGTGTCATAGAAAGTGAACAGTCATATATGTTCTTTATGTTTTCTGAAGACGTTTCTTTAAAAAAAGTCTCTTGTAGTTTGGTTGAATCTCACGTGTAACTTTTTGGGACATAGGTGCTGGCACTTTCACTGAAGCCATGAAGATTGGTTCTGAAGTATACCACCACTTGAAGAAAGTGATCAAGGACAAGTTTGGCTTGGATGCTACAGCTGTTGGTGATGAAGGTGGTTTTGCTCCCAACATTCAAAATAACAAAGAGGGTCTTCAGCTAATAAAAGATGCCATTGACCAGGCAGGTTATACTGGCAAAGTAGAAATTGGTATGGATGTTGCTGCATCTGAGTTTTTCAGGTAAATGAACCATGAAAAGGTAAGTACTGATATGATGAGATCTCATTTTGAAGTATGTCTGAGAACCTTTCATTGCTGTACTTGTGATGAAAGTACTGGGAACTGGCATTAATGATCTCATTTGTCACATGAAGGCTGAAGCAGTTTTTATTTACCGTTGAGTGAACTGAGTTTATATTGCATTGATTTTAGTGGTAGTTAATTTTACTTGAGGGTGTCATGGTGTATGAGTATTGAGCCTAAGGTCTTTTATTGAAGGTGAGTCAGACCAAATATGGTTGGTTTTTCCTAAATTGGGTGAGCCAGGGTAGTGCAGTTGGTATAGTGACTGCCTACGGGCTGGACTGCCGAGGGGTCAATGTTTTAGGGTCAGAATTTTCTCTTCTCCATATAATCCAGACCGGCTCTGGGGCCCACCCAGCCCCCTGTCCAATGGGTACTTAGTGCCCTTTCCCCCAGGGTAAATTGGCAGGTCTGTGAAGCTGACCACTCACCTCAAACTAGTGCTGAGATCAAGAAAATATGGTTCTATACCTCCACTTCCCCATAGGTCATCGTGGCATAGTGCTTAATTAGTTAAGCACACGGACAACTTTACCTTTCCTAAATGGGTTTTCGGTCTCTCGCAAAACCAGACCTCAATGAATGGGGAAATGTCATGCCTCCACCATGTCTCAGAATTTATTGAGCCATAGGTTCCAGTGCTGGTAATCATTGTTGTCACAGTTACCATCATCATATCACCGAGAAAACCAAATCCTGCCAGGTAGAAAAGTTGAGCAGCTGACAGACAGGTAGAGGCCAGGAAGTGGAAAGATTCAGCTGTTTTCTGTTTACAGTACATGACAGGAAATCACCATACCTTTTAATACTCATTAAAGAAAAACACATGTGTCACTTTTGAAGTATGATTGTGACATTGTGCCGAGCAGTGGGACATGGCAGTTTGAAACAGTGGAACATCAAGAAGTCATTACTCCTGCTATGATTAAAGTATTGAATTGGAAGAACACAGAACAGCCTGTTGCATGGAAGAATCTTCACTGGTATTAGTGGTTTTATGAGTGAGAATTATCTCCAAAATATGAAATTTAAAGTAAAGATGAAAGGTAAAGCTATTCCTGTAACAGGCCTCGGAGGCCCACAGGGTTATGAGATGTTGAGGCTCCCACGTTTTCTAGACAGTGGGCTCACAGATTGTGGTTAGCTTTGTCGAATTTCGCATAGAATTTAACATATATGAATACTAAAAAATAATATTAAATAATTTGGCATAGAAAAACCGAAATTAATGGCTGTGGGTATTCGTTACGCTGATCATGCGACACCCTCTATCTGCTTAAGTTGGCACTAACTTCGCCAATAAGTGGGGGTTGTTTGGTCAGTATAGTTTGCTTGTGGACTAAAGCCAGGGAGTTTTTAATATTAAATAATAAAATTTATTTCCCTTCCTTATCCATTATGCTTGCTTTCTGCAGAAGCCTAAAGCAAAAAATATTTATATCAATGTGTTCTTACACTAACTTAATTTGAATTCTGCCACCAGAAAAGGGAAATATGACTTGGATTTCAAGAACCCCAACACGGATGAAAGCAAGTGGATTGATGGACAAGAGCTGACAAACCTCTACCTAGAATTTATCAAAGATTTCCCTGTTGTGTCTATTGAAGATCCATTTGATCAAGACCATTGGGATGCATGGACTAATATCACTGCTACTACAAATATTCAGGTAAAAATGTTATAAATATGAGAGTTAAAACTAGAGGACAGTTAAAATACCTTACTTTTATAGCGTGTCTTTTAATGGGTGTTAGTTTTTTAATGTACCATGGTGACACTTTTGTCTGGGTTAAAGATAGTTAACTACTTACTGTTTGGAAAATTTATGACACTGTGGACATTTTCATGTACATTTATTTTTGAGTATGTGGAATTAATGGGTTAAATATTACACATTACATTTAAATTCTATGGTAACATATTGCAATATACCTTATAGAGTAGCCACTGACTGTACAAGAAAGTCATGGTGAAAGCTTCACTACTTTACTGGTGCAATCAGAATGGAAGAAAAGCCTTTCAGGAATCTGTATGCTGATAATATTAACAGTAGGGGAAAAATATGTAATATTATTATATGCCTCAGGATAGTGTCTTAATAGCAGGTTTTGTAAACATAATGAACCTTTGGGTTTTGTAACAGGATGGACTCTCTTATCCATTTGAGTGACTGTCAGCTTTTCGAGGAAAACACGCATGATTAAGTTACTTATAGTTTTAAGTGAATAATAATACAGATTTCTGAGCTAGCATTTTATTGATATATTCTTTTCTGGAAAATAAAATTTTTCTGGAGTACAAATATGAAATTAAAATCCCAGTTTTCAAGGTTTTCGGAAGGGTCAGTGGGTATGAACTTCAGCTGAGATCCGTGTTGTGTAGAGGAACATTAAGTGGGGATGCCATGTAACTGGATATGCCTAATTCTCTTTGTATGTGTAAATGATGTGTTTGTTGAGGGGTGTGATTTCCTTTACAGTCCTCTCTTCTTGGAATTGTTGCAGATAGTTGGTGATGACTTAACGGTAACAAATCCTTCAAGAATTCAGACGGCCATTGACAAGAAGGCTTGCAACTGTCTGTTATTGAAAGTGAATCAGATTGGGTCAGTGACAGAATCAGTCAAGGCCCACAATTTGGCAAAGTCAAATGGTTGGGGTACCATGGTGTCTCATCGTTCTGGTGAAACAGAAGATACCTTCATTGCAGATCTGGTTGTTGGACTCTCCACTGGACAGGTTCATAAACTATATATGCATATCCATTTTTCCATATTTATTTGGTGCTGAGGTCAGGAACGGTGGAGCATGTCTGCATTCCTCCGCAAGGCTTCATGGTGTTGGTCTTGATTGATGAAACACAAGGATAACTGTCCCTTTACCATTACTCTGGAGTCTCAACATTGATTGGAGCTTCCATGTTCATCATGTGATCATTTTGTATAGCAGCAGCATTACCATTTTCAGTACATTTTAATTCAGTTCATAGTTACTGTTTGATATATGAATGTTGTAACTCAGAATAGCATTTGCAGACTTGCAGTAACATAAACTTAGAGGCTTATATAATAGCATACTCTCCTTATTTTTAAAAATAAAATTAGGCTGATGAGAAATGAGATCAGCTTGCTATTTGTCTCTCTGCATGTCCCTCCCCTTCAACTTCTGAATGCCTGAAGCAGTCTTTATGAAACTTAATGTATATATCATGGCACCTGAGCTGATCTCAGTGGCATGTGTCTTTCGGAATTAGAACATCACAACAAATTCGTCATATTTCTTTTACTAATAAGGAGCAGTTGTTTTCTTTAGCAGTGTAGCAGCTTATATATGTACTTAATTGTTGGAATCAATTAATAGTGTGGAAGCTGGGACTGCAGACCACTTAAACAATAGATTTTCATCTTGCGCCCAATGAATTAGATATGTCACAATTTATACCTGTTATAGATCTTTTTTTGTACCAGAAATTATTATGCCTGAAAACACTTTCCAGAGGAATTTATGATGCTCACTGCCCTTAATCCAGTAAAGGATAAGTACAGTACAGAAAGCTACATTAATACTGTTCTTCAATGAAGAGAAGGTGAGGCAAGCAGTGGCTTGAGTTGACTGATCTTGGCCATTCTAGTGCTCATTTAGGACACTTTGGCTTTCAGTGTACTGATGGCAATGATGAAAGTCGCCCAGACATCCTGCTGATGTTTTCAGTTTGTGCAGATCATGCATATAAGCAGGCCTTAGCAATTATCTCATTTTTTTCTTGAAGGATAGTGCCTATTGTGCATCTAATGGAGAAGTGATTCTATGTGGAGTAAAAGTGGCCTTGAGAAGCTAATAGTGATTCAGTTACTCGAGAAATGTCCTGAGATCGAACATGAAGATTCAGTATCTCATTCACAAGAAAGTAAAAGTAAAAAGTAAAAGCTATCCGTGTACCAGACCGTGAAGGCCCATATGGTTGTGAGACATTGAAGGTCCCATATTATCTAGATAGTCGGCTCAAAGATGGCAGTAACGTTGTCAGCCTTACTCATCGGACGCACTTTACTCCCGAGGAAAATTGTTTAATTAATTCCTGGTACTCATTTCTGTTAGAGGCTGAGTGAACCCCAGGGCCATAGTGCGGCTGGAAGGATTAGGTCAATTGAAAAAAAATCCAGTGACGCTCATCGGGATGTGAGCCTGCGACCTTCTGGCTTGTAGCATAGCCCCTCAACCAACTACGCTACCGCATGCCCCTGTCTCATTCACAAGAGCTTTATAAAAGTGTATGTAAGTGTATGGAAATATGGAGACATGTCAGGTATAAGTGTACATTGTACATACTATCTAGAAATTCAGATGTGATTATATCCTGCTGCTGGGAGACACTTTTCCTTGCTCCCTGGCACAGAATTGTTTCATGTAAAAGAACTCTGCCATCCATTCCTCATGTATGTTACTAACTCATACACCCACTTGGTATGAATTCATAAAGCTTTTCTTCTTTTTCAGATACTAATGTGTTTTCTACCAACTGCATAATTTCCACTTTATTTTGCCTGCCTTAATTTTTTTTATGCTTTTCACTGTCTGTGAAACATTGTAATTATATACCTTCAGTATGTAGGTTTAGTGGGGCACGTGGTAGTGTAGTTGATTCAAGCACTATGCTACAAGGCTGAAAGTCGTGGGTTCAAATGCTGATGAGATCATTGGATTTTTTCAATTTACCTAATCCTTCCAGCCACACTATGGCCCTGGGGGGGTAAAAGGTGGCCAGCGTGTGAGGCTGACAACCTTACTGCCGTCTATGAGTTGATTGTCTACACAAAATGTGGGAGCCTGAACATCCCACAACCCTATGGGCCTTCGTGGCTTATTAGAGGGATAGCTTTATCCTTTTTTTTTTGCATAGGTTTAGCTGAACACATGCATATTACATCACAGGTTAGCATTCGCCCTTAGACTGCAGGTTGCAGCTGTATGTGAGTGCCAAACTTGTTACAAATAAACTGTGCTTTTGTCATTCTTGTTGCGAACAAACAGACCATTACAATCTTCATCATGAATTAGCCAAGCACCATTTTTAATATGATTTGTTGTAGGAAAAATGTGGATGTGGTATATGAGAAAATGTGGTAATTCATACATTTATTAGCAATGTCGTCTTTCAGATCAAAACTGGTGCTCCATGCCGGTCTGAGAGACTGGCAAAGTACAACCAGATCTTGCGCATAGAAGAGGAACTTGGAGCCAATGCCAAGTATGCTGGCAAGAACTTCCGCAGACCTATCTAAGTGTTCACTGAGTAGAACAACATCTGGTAGCCCTGGGTCAAATAAAACATTCTGATCAACGATAAATACCTTAGACATATAAATATCTCATGCATTATGGTTTTTTTTATTGCTCGAGGGGTGGGACTAAGTCCGTTGTACTGCTGCCACTTCTGGCCTATTGTACCAGCCCCAGATGATAGGTGAGGGTGATTGTGGAGCAATTGGTGGAATGAAGATTGGCAGGGGAAACCGAAGTACTCGGATAAAACCTGCCCCAGCGCCACTTTGTCCGCGACAAATCCCACCCGACAAGACCTGGGATCGAACCCGTGCCGACGCGATGGGAAGCCAGTGACTAACCGCTTGAGCTATGGCTCATGCATTACAGTTGCTGGCCACATAGTTTGCAGAACTGGCTCAGGAGGGCAGATACTTGTTCCAACTGGTTCATTTTCATTGGCAACAAAATGGAAGAATTTCTCATTTGTGTAATAAAGTAAAACGTGTCTAGTCTTGCCTAGTTCTAGAGAACGGTTGTATTTGGTGATTGTGTTGAGATTTGTTGGTGTACAGTAGCACTGGTTGGTCATTCTGAGAATGGGATTTTATGTATGTCATTGAAGAGGATTAATAGAGTTCTGTGGTATAGAGATGTTTTAATTTTTGGAAAGAAATAAAGGGACCCAAAATGTTTATGCACCTACCAGTAGTTTTCCTCTCTGCTACAACTGATATTGAAAATGTATAAAAATGTTATTTTTGTTGTAATCACTGATGTAATAAACACATACAAGAATATCATGTAATGCTTTGGTCTGTTAAAATGTTTTCAGTGCAGAATATAAACAAGGATTTCAGATAGAATTTGTAGTCTGCTTTTCTGTTTTAGATGCCCAGTTTCACATGTCTTGTGTTAATGTTGGTGTAGGTTGATAATCTGTATATTACAAAAGCCTAATGATTGACATAATATGCCTTTTTTTACTCAATGTTGGAAGTCAAAATAGTAATGTAGTAATTTTTGTAAAATCTCATGTCTTCCAGTATATCAAATTGATGTAATTAGATCTTACCCAGCTTAAAATGAAGCTTTGTTTAGTGATTTTTTGACTTTCAGAAAAAAATAACTGGAGCATTTGTGTGTCATGAGTGTCACTTTATTCTTTACAGATATATACGAAATAATTGTGCTTATTCCAAACTGAGGTTTTTCATAACTTTCCTCAGTCCCTCCAAGCAAATTCTAGAGTAGTACCTATATTAGGCCACAACTGCTTCCTTCTAAATCCTTTTCAATTCATTAGTCTTTCTGTGAATCATTGTTTTGTGTTCCAAATTACAGGCAGTATCAGTAAATAAAACATACTGCTACATGCCTGAAGGTTTTGCTTTAATTATATTTATATTTAATTTTAGGAATATTCCAGATGAATTCAGAGGTTCATGAGGTTAACACAAGACATAAAGATGATCTTCACATACTAATTATTACCCTTACAGTGTGTCAAAAAGGTGTCTTAATAAAGAAATAAAATTTTGTATCATCCACACAAAATAAAATGTCTGTCCATTGTCAGAAGACAATATAAGGTAATGTTAAAATAATTTTGTGTGACTTACACCTTTCCTTTATTGTTAAATTTGTGAACTATAAATAATGAGTTTCTTAATACACTAACAGGTACAATTATAACATTTGTATGGCAGATGTGTGGAAAGGTTTAAGCATGTTTCCTTATGCAGTGGGTATGTTTGTGGGTAACAGGAAGTTTTATATGCTGCTTGTTTTTTTTTATTTTTTTTTTAAGTATGTGGTTTTTTTCAGTGTGATGTGTTTCTAGGTCCTCTTCTAAATGTGCTGAATTTATTGTATCCCGACATTTATCTAAGTTCTGCTTTTTGGGTGCATTGTGCTTGTATCTTGACTTTTTCCACATGCTTCTCTGTTGAATGCATATTATTTTATGCAGCTGTCCCTCTGCCTGCCCACCCTCCCATCCATCTGCACATATCCCAACTCACCATTCATTATAATCCTGCCATGTTAATCTCATCTGAAGCTCTAGAAATGATGCTATTGACATGTGCCAACAGGATTTCCTGTCTCCTGTGGGAGGTAGGCAGAAATTTGCTTATGAACTTGTGCGTAAATCTTTTGAGACTGTTTTTGCTGATCACCCTATAGTATTCAGGGTAGAAGAATAATTGTTTTTTTAAAATACTCTTAATTTTTGTTTTAGTATTTGAAATACTTGCGTCTAAATTTTTATTCTGTCATAAAAATGCAGGTGTGTGGGGGAAATGGTATCACATTGTGGATACACTGAAGTGGAGGTGTGAAAAGACACACGTAAAATTTGTGGTCAGTTATCTGGTTACTGTTGATCTTGCAGATTTTTAGAATGCACCCATCACATTGTATCGTGTTGGGAGTCGGACATGTTTGTGTTAGTACAATATTTTTCTTTTGTGTGTGTGTGTGTGTGTGTGTGTGTGTGTATGTCTGTTGAAGGAGGTTTTGGAGGTGTATGGCCTGTAACGGAGCTGTATCAACTACCAAGGTTAGTAAAATAAGTTATTATAACCAGCGATAAGAGAAGGGAAGGGTTGAATAGGAGACTGAACAAGTATCGCACTGATTATAGCATAATATATTTTCATCGGAATATTACATGATTATGCTGTGCTGTGTATATTGGTGACCTTTGGGTTATGTGCCCGGGCGTGTTAAGCGGAATTAATACTAAATGATTACGCTGTACTGAGTATATTAGCTACCTTTAGCATGCGTTTGGATGTGTTAAGAGTGTTAAGTGTTACTGATGTTTGTACAAAATTAAGTTGAGCAAGGATTTATGAGTGGCATGAATCGGTAAGCAATAGTTTTTCACGTTCTTAAAAAAAAAGTCGCATGCCCGTATTATTTAAATATGTAAAATTATGTCATCTGTGTCATTAATACTAAGGGCGTACTTCTTTGGCCGTCGTAGGCCGTTTGTTTGGACGAAATTCGTGGTTCTGTTATCAAAGGCTGCTTTGAGAGATTTGTTCCTGTTCTAAAACATAACCTCAGTTTATTAACCGGGAATTTACATCCGCATGGAAAGAAGAGGCTGTGGTTTCCTCATTGAGGACAATAGCGCCTTTATAACTATCGACTATTTTTAATTTCTAAGTAACCTCTAGAATTTTTGAAGTTATTCCTGATCATCTCTCTTAATATTTTAAATTTGGACTCCGTACATCTCAGTATGGATTTGTTAAATCACAATAAACCGTAACCAATTTAATTAAGTATTTAAATAGTCGCATCTACTGTCTGCTTAGAAGGGCAGGTGGATAACCATTTACTTCCATCTGTCAAGCCTTTGATAACGTCGTACTTACTTACTTACTTACTCATGGAGCTGAGCCCTTCTGGAGGAGCCGCCAATTCTGCAGCTACTCAAGAATTTCCCAGCATTTTATGGAACCCGAAGGTTCATTTCCATGTTCACAAGAACCCTCCACTGGTCCCTATCCTGAGCCAGATCAATCCAATCCACACTATCCCATCATATCTCTCTAAGATCCATTTTAATATTGTCCACCCACCTACGCCTTGGTCTTCCCAGTGGTCTCTTTCCTTCTGGCTTTCCCACCAATATCCTATACGCACTCCTCGTCTCCCCCATTCGTGCTACATGCACTGCCCACCTCATCCTACTTGACTTGATCATTCTAATTATACTTGGAGAAGAGTACAAGTTATGAAGCTCCTCACTGTGCAGTTTTCTCCAACCTCCTGTCACTACATTTCTCTTCTGTCCAAATATTCTCAACACCCTGTTCTCAAACACCCTCAGTCTATGTTCCTCCCTTAATGTCAGAGACCAAGTTTCACACCCATACAGAACCACAGGCAAAAATATAGTTTTGTATATTCAAATTTTTATGTTTTTGGACAGCAGACGAGTAGACAAAAGGTTGATAAAGTCCTACATGATGTATTATTAAATAACCGAACAGTTCAAGACTTTGCAGAATGTAGTACTTGGGTGCAATGATTTATGAAGAAATTAATGTAAGAATATGAAAAGCGTGTGATCTATATCGATCGCCGGCGCAACAGCTTAGGGAAGCAGTTGCCACTATGTCTAAATGGTATTGTAAACATTGGGGGGGGGGATTTTGGTGAAACGAAAATAATTTCTGCTACTCTTATTCATACCATCACCATTAATTGGCGGTAATCTAAACGTGTTATAAACCAGTGAAAATTAAACTATTGTAGGAGTTAAGGGCACCGTTGACGATTTTCGTCACAGTGGCTGGGAATTTCGATTTATTACGATCAAGTTTCTAGAAAGCTGGTTTGTTTTAAGCGAGGTGGCTGAGGCAACTTCCCATCGCCTGGGGCGGCACGTATGCTTATCCGAGCCTGTCTGAAACTATAACATACATGCTTCTACCGTGGTTCTAATTGCAGATTTGGTGGTTATGAAAGAACGTTTCCAGTGCACCTCCTCTGGGAGCAAATCAAAGCATTATTTAAAATGAAGCCTGGATACCAGTGTGATGGCTACAGGATTCTAAAACATTTGTTTTTTCTTTTATTTGTATTCAGAACCAGGCAGGGATCACTACGCTCTAGGCAACATTTGAAAATGACCCCTGTCCCCAACTAGTGAAAGTACGAATACAAGTTTATCTCTTAAAATAGTAGTTTATTTCAGTTTCGATGTGCAGCAGTACCAGCACAACATAATACACGCAAAGGTAAAGTTTCCTCTGTGCTTAACTAATTAAGCACCATACCAAGAAGGCGTATGGGAGAGTGGATACGTACAATTGCATATTAATAGTGAGGTTGAGGTTGGAAGAGACGTCCTCCAAGTATGGAGGGAAGATGCGATATTGACTAAGCAGTCGCGGACAGCCGACAAGGCGTGGTCCTCAGCTCGGAGGTTGGGCGTGGGGCTAACTAAAAAAAAATAAAGCTATACCTGTAACAGGCCGTGAAGGCCCATAGGGCTGTGAGACGTTGAGGGTCCCACATTATCTAGACAATCGGCTCAAAGATGGCGGTAAGGCTGTTAGCCTTACTCGCCGGCCGCGATTTACTCCCCAGAAAATTTATTTAATTAATTCCTGTACTCATTTCTGTTAGAGACTGAGTAAACCCCGAGGGTCTAGTGCGGCTGGAAGGATGAGGTCAATTTAAAAAAATCCAATGACCTCATCGGGACTTGAACCCGCGACCTTCCGGCTTGTAGCATAGCCCTTAAACCAAAGAAGCTTTTTGCGAAAGATCACAAGAAGCCTCGGACCTGGACGGATTCTGCGGGTAAACGACCCAGACGAAAGAAAATGGATATGAAATTTGGCACTTGTAATGTTAGAAGCATGTATAGGGCAGGTTCGCTCAGGGCAGTGGCAGAAGAAATCTCAAAATATAAGTTAGATTTAGTGGGAGTACAGGAGGTCAGATGGGATGGAGGTGGCACCGAACCAGCAGGAGAATATACATTTTTCTATGGAACGGGGAATGAAAATCATGAATTAGGTACAGGTATATTCGTACACAAGTAAATCATATCGGCAATTAAGAGGGTAGAGTTCGTTAGTGATGGGATATCATACACAACACTAAAAGGTTGCTGGTGGGGTATCATCGCTCTGAATGTTCACGCCCCAACATGAGATAAAATTGACGATATAAAGGACAGGTTCTACTAAGAACTATAACATATATTTGATAAATTCCCAAAGTACCGTATGAAAATATTGTTAGGAGATTTCAATGCCAAAGTAAGTAGGGAAGATATTTTCAAACGAACAACTGGGAATGAGAGTTTGTACGAAATTAGTAATGATAATGGAGTTGGAGTAGTAAACTTTGCCACATCGAAAAATCTTGCTGTAAAAGTACAATGATCCCACGTCGTAATATCCATAAATGTGAAAAATTTAAATTGTTCCGTCCAGTGTGACTTGTTAAGATTTTCTTATTTCAATTATTCATGCCCTTACGTTTTTTCGGTCTTAAGAGACCATCTTCAGATGGACACCTTTACAGCAATACTGTTAGGAGCCACCATTACAGTACATGTTCTAAAAGTTAAAAATATATACATACAATATAAATAATATACAATTGGCTTTAAAATCTAAAATCTTTACAACTACAGCGGCTGTTCCAATACATTAAAATATGTATAGTAAGTTTGTTGAGATTCTATTGGAATTCGTAAACCAAGCGGGTTCATGTCGTCCCTCTTATTATTTCTTTTTGTTAAAAAATCACAGCGGGCCACAAAGACACACAGGACAACATCAAAGAACCCCGTTCTCGAGAACCACAAGGCGGCACACGTTCGGCCCCCGTCAAAAGAAATAATAAGAGGGACGACACGAACCCGCTTGGTTTACGAATTCCAATAGAATCTCAACAAACTAACTATACATATTTTAATGTATTGGAACAGCCGCTGTAGTTGTAAAGATTTTAGATTTTACAGCCAATTGTATATTATTTATATTGTATCTATATATTTTAACTTTTAGAACATGTACTGTAACAATGGCTTCTAACTATATTGATGTAAAGGCGTCCCTCTGAAGATGGTCTCTGAAGACCGAAACATGTAAGGGCATGAATAATTGAAATAAGAAAATCTTAACCACTCACATTGGACGGAACTATTTAACTTTTTCGTAATATTAGTGCAATGGACCACAATGAAAGACATCAAATCCATAAATGTACTTGGACATCTCCTGATGGTAAGACACAATCAGATCGACCATATTCTGATAGATAAGAGACAGCATTTAAGTATACTTAATGTCCGATCATTCATGGCAGAAGATTGTGATACTGACCACTATCTGTTGGTGGCAAAAATTATGGAGATATTGGCAGTGAGTAACCAAACAAAACACCAAGTTCATATAGAGAGGTTCAATCTCAAGGAATTAAAAGAGATAGAAGGTAAAAAGCAGTATCATGTTGAAATTTGAAATGCCTTCGCGGCTTTGGAAAACTTAGACACTGAGGTGGATGTTATTAGAGCTTGGAAAACTACTAGAGAGAATATCAAAATTTCTGCCAAGGAGAGTCTAGCTTATTGCGAACCGAAGAAACATAAGCCATAGTTCGATGAAGGATGCTCAAAATTATTTGACCAAAGAAAACAACCAAAACTATAGTAGTTGCAGGATCCAAGCGAAATAAACGGGGATAATCTGAACAATATACGACGTGAAGCCAGCAGGCATTTCAGGAATAAAAAGAAGGAATATCTGAAAGACAGAATTGTTGAGCTTGCAACCAACGGTAAGAACAAGAACATTAGAGACCTGTATAGAGGATTTTTTTATAGCTAGTTGGGTGGGACTAGGTCCCTTGTACTGAGACCACCTCTGGCCTATTGTACTAGCCCCAGATGATAGGTGAGGGTGATTGTGGAGCAATTGGTGGAATGAAGATTGGCAGGGGAAACCGAAGTACTCGGAGAAAACCTGCCCAGCGCCACTTTGTCGACCACAAATCCCACTTGACCAGACCCGAGATCGAATCCTGGCCGCCGCGGCGGGAAACCAGCGACTAACTGCTTGAGCTATGGCGCGGCCTGTATAGAGGAATAAATTACTTTAAGAGGGTTTACCAACCTAGAAGTAACTTAGTGAAGGATGAGAATGGTGATCTGCTTGCAGATTCCCACAACATTTTGAATAGGTGGAGGAACTACTTCTCTAAGTTATTGAATGTACATAGGGTCAGTGATGTCAGGCAGACAGAAATACACCTGAGCTCTTAGTACCTAATCCCAGCCCTTTTGAGATTGAAATTTGTATTGCAAAGGTGAGAACTTATAAATCCCCAGGTAGTGATCACATTCCTGCAGAACTTATTCAAGCAGGGATGAAAAATTATGTTCTAAGATCCATAAGCTAATTATTTCTATTTGGAATAAGGAAAGTTGCCTGATTAGTGGAAGGAGTCTGTTGTTATACCAGTTCACAAGAACTGTGATAAAACTGACCGTAGTAATTATCGTGGAATGTCACTGCCAACGACTTTGTGCAAAATTTTATCCAATATTCTTCTCTCAAGGTTAAGTCCATATATTGATGAAATTATTGGGGATCTTCAGTGTGGGTTTCGACTGACAGATCAACTACTGATCAGATCTTCTGCATTTGTCATATACTGGAGAAGAAATGGGAGTACGATGAGACAGTACAGCAACTATTCATAGACTTGAAGAAAGCCTATGATTCATTTAGGAAGGAAGTATTGTACAATATTCTGATAGAGTTTGGGGTACCCATGAAACCAGTCAGGCTGATCAAAATGTGTTTAAATGAAATATATGTTAAAGTTGGCGCAGGTAAACATTTGTCTGATAATTTTCCTATCCAGAATGGTTTAAAACAAGGAGATGCTTTATCGCCACTACTTTTCAACTTTGCCTTACAATATATGATATAACTCCGTCCTAAGTGCAAACTATATTTATAGGTCTTTCGTTCTGTTCTTCTTTATACACTATATGTTTCGGTCCCAAACTGCCATCATCAGGTGTACTCACGTATCTGTTACACTGCACTTATTTATAACATTTAAAATTTAAAAATATAGGTCTTCCTGATTAGCACTTATAAAATCTTCGATTCTAATTAAAAAAAGGATTTAAAATTAGAACCGAAGATTTTATAAATGCTAATCAGGAAGACCTATATTTTTAAATTTTAAATGTTATAAATAAGTGCAGTGTAACAGATACGTGAGTGTATACATCTGATGATGGCAGTTTGGGACCGAAACATGTAGTGTATAAAGAAGAACAAAACGAAAGACCTATAAATATAGTTTGCACTTAGGACGGAGTTATATCATATATCGTATAAAGTGCAACAGGATGCTTAAATATAATATTGTTTGCCTTAGAATATGCAATTAGGAAGGTCCAGGAAACCAGGTGGGACTGAAATTAAACAGGACACATCAGCTGTTGGTCTATGCCGATGATGTGAATATATTTGTGGATAATATAGATACCATAAAGAGATACACACAAACTTTAATTGACACTGGTGAGGAGGTTGGTCTAGAAGTAAACACAGAGAAAACTAAGAATATGTTGCTGTCTCATCACGAAAATGTAGGGGAAACTCATGACATAAAGATAGGAAACAGATGTTTTGAAAATGTGGTACAGTTCAGATATTTGGGAACGACGATAACAAATCAAAACTTGATTCAGGAGGAAATTAAGAGGCGATTGAACTCGGGTAATGCTTGCTACCATTCAGTCCAGAACCTTTTATCATCTCATCTGCTGTCTAAAAACATAAAAATCAGAATATACGAAAGTATAATTTTGCCTGTGATTCTGTATGGGTGTGAAACGTGGTGTCCGACATTAAGGTAGGAACATAGACTGAGGGTGTTTAACAGGGTGCTGAGGAAAATATTTGGACTGAAGAGAGATGAAATGACAGGAGGTTGGAGAAAACTGCATAATGAGGAGCTTCATAACTTTCATCTCCAAGTTCAATTAGAATGATTGAGTCAAGGAGGATGAGATGGGCACCGCATGTAACACGAATTGGGGAGAAGAGGAATTCATATAGGATATTGGTGGGAGAGCCAGAAGGAAAGGGACCACTAGGAAGACAAAGACCTAGGTGGGAGGACAGTATTAAATTGAATCTTAGAGAAGTAAGATGTGATGGTATAGATTGGATTGATAGGATAGGGAACAGTGAAGGGCTCTTGTGAACACGGTAATGAACCTTCGGGTTGCATAAAATACTGGGAAGCCCTTAACTAGCTGCACTACTGGCGCTCCCCAAGAAGGGTTCAGCTCCATGAGTTACCAAGAAGGTTCTCATCGTTCTGACTATGAATTCTGTCATTGGAACTCCGAAGTGTCAGATTCTTTTATGCACAAAAAGGAATGGTCTGACAAATATATATGAAGATTTTCCGCCCTTTTGTCACTTCTGATTTGCTTGATTGTTGAATTAATTTTCTTGACTTGCTATGCGTAGATGCAAGCTTTCTTTCAGTCGGAATATTGATAGGAGTGGGGGGAGATCTGATAATTTTCCTAGGAAAATGCAATCATCGGGACCGCTTTCCACTAGATAACATCTAACTTGATCATTAATATTCAGACAGTGTTGGACGATAATAAAAGTTTAGCAGAATATTGGAATTTTCGTCACTTACTGAAATACTTGCAGCCGGCTGGCTGTTGATTAAGTCATTTTCTATTACTGGACATTTGGGAGTTGTAGAGCTGTGTGGTTTATGAGTATTATTTCCACAGTGTTTACGGGTTATTGAAATTTCCATGCTGCAAATGGTTTCCTTTTTTTTGGGGGGGGGCTACGATTTGCTTATCTCTATATAACCATTTTTGCCAGTGCTGAGACATCTGAAGGCCTCTTCCTCTTTACCATCATCTTACAAATTCGTAACCGGAAGGTTGTTTTAATGACATTTTAAACCCAGCATGAATATCTAGGTACGTTTGTTTCCCATGTAAAATTTGGTTCCAGTGACTCGTGACTTTTCAGGATAAGCCATTTAAATGATTTTTCTGATATGTCACGAGAACGTTACTGACATCTTTCTTTTAGATTCCTCTGCTTTGCCTTCTGTTTTTACATTCTCTTCCTGTTCACCGTAAGTTTTGACACAGCCCCATGTGTTGGTCTCCTTCATTTCAAAATAACTGTTTCTCGAATTATGTCGTTCAAGTCGTTTATCCCTTTTAACCCACAACAATTTTTGAGTTCGAAAGTATTCTTCAATTTCCGCCAGCGATCTTCCTTGAGTTTCAGGCAAGACAAGATAAGAGAATATGCAGCAGAGAAGAGCGTTTATGCCTATCACGAAAAAGACTCCATGCACTCCTATAGTTCCCTTCAACCAGGGATATATTTTAGATGCACAAAACTGCACTGCGTCGTTGGCAGCATATATATAACCACAGGCAATTCCTCGGATCTTAACAGGAAGGATTTCCGACATAATTGCAGGAGGCAGTGGAAGGAAGCCACAAGTATTCGCTGCAATGAACACTAAAATCAGTATGCATGTTATCCACATACTTGTTTCTGGAGAAAACGAATATTCTGTTCTCAATTGGAAGAACAAGAAACAGCTGAGTACTAAAGCAGCACATGCACAAACACTTGTGGCAACAATGGCATGCGTCCTTCGTCGTACAAAGTACAACAATGAATTTGTAACTAATGTAAAAATTAGACGAACAAATGCTGTTAACTGGGCGATCGTGAAACTGTCGAAGCCCTTTGTATTCTTGTCTGTTTCGGAGATAATGTCGACTGCATAAAATACGATCAGCATTGTGCCAGTGAGTATTTGAAATAAGTTGAAGATGTGGCCAATGAAGAACGGTTTGAGTATTGAAGGAGAGAGTAGGAATTTTATTTTTTGCATAATGTTTGGTGTTTTATCGGCCTCTTCTTTGTCTGTTGTGTCTACTTCTATTTCTTCTGCCTCTTGTTGTGCTCTAATTCCGGATAGCAACTCCTGAAGTTCAAATGAAGCCTGCAAGACAATAAATTGCTATTAAAATAGACTTCACGACCTAAAATAGCCCCACCAGTTTATAATATATTTTTTTTGCGTAGTTATTTTGTACTTTAAGACTTCGGGGAAAAGAAGGTTATAATTTTCCGATATTTTCATTAATATTCTTAGGTCAGGTTACCGACCGAGCAAGCACCGCTTGTCGGCGAAGTTAGTGCCAACTTTAGCGGATAAAGTGTGTTGCGTGATGAGCGCAACGAATCCCCACGGCCCTTATTTTCAGTTTTATAGACCGGAGCCGCTATTTCCTTGAAATAGCACTTCAGTTATCCTTACGAGGCTGAGTGAACCCCGTTCCAGACCCCTCTACTTCTCAGAAAATCTGGTAGCGCCGGGAATCGAAACGGGACGTCTGGGTCTGTAGCCAGGAACTCTGACCGTTTAGTTCGCTTGCGGACTAAAACCACGGAGTTTGTTTATTAAGTCAAGTTTTTGAAATGAAGGAAAAAGAATAATGGTTTTCAGTTTGCTTGAAGGACCAAGTGAAGTTCTCATCAAATATTTGATTGTCAATAGGTATGTGGAATTTAATTGCTTATTTTACGACCGTCGACATAACAAGCAATTAAATAATATATACACAACAGGATGCAGTCTATAAAGGTATGTGGAACATGGCAGGTAACTATTTTACGTCGTGTAGGTACACAATTAATATCGAGAGATGTTTTTGAGAAATGAAACTGAATGCAGTTTCTATTTATCTGCCGATCCATCCATTAATCCATCTGTGCCACTGTTTGTGTCTCCGTCCATCCGAGAAAGCGTAAGGACCACAAACTGAGAAATCACTTCCATTTCCTGACCCTTCATTGGACAGTGATAGACAAAAGAAGAAAAGAAAGGATAACGTTCAGTAATAACCAGATTTAGACCCACCTGCTTCTTGTCTCCTCTGAGCCACGTAAGAGCTCGTTGTGCTTCTTCAGCGTGTCCTTTCTTTGCTAGCCACACAGGACTCTCTGGTATGAAGAAGAAGCAAGTCAGTGATGTCAAAGGTATAGATGCCAGCAAGCCTGCCACTATATGCCAGTGAAGATACGAACCCAGAACATATACCAGTAGAATTCCTGCTGAGAGTGCAGTGAACGAACTGGATGTATATAGTCCACGTAGCCGGGGCGTGGAAATTTCACACAAAATCACCTGTTGAATATGAACAAAGTTTTTATCTAAGATATATCACGCAAGGAAAGCTATTAGACTTCCCTTGTATTCGGTTATTTTATGACGTGACATAAAACACGTAGCGTGGAATGAAATGTGGGGGAAAAGAGCCGTGAACTTTTTCTTACCCAAATGTGTTGAGACTTCGAAGGACCTCATGGGAAATATCGGTTGATAGCCTGTCTCTGATATTGGTACGACGGTTTTTGTAAAATGCTATTGAAGGAGCCGAGATGGAGCTCAGATAATGTAGCAACTAGGCTACAGTCTGCATGATCAGATTCAATTCCGGGGAGGGGCAAAATATTTTTATTTTTTCGTAACGTCCAGATCGACTCTGGGGCCCACTCAACCTCCTACCCAAGGGGTACCGGGGGTTCTACCCTCGAGGCATGAACCTGACCCGTAACATACTCGTACACCTAGTGCGGAGGTCAAGAATGGTGGAGCTGTACTTCCACTTCCTCATATCCTTCATGGTGTGGTGCTCAGTTGCATAATGAAATACAGAGATATGCTACGGAAGGGCTTCTAAACCCATTACTACCGCATTATCTATTAGTATTGTTTATTTTACTCGAAGTGTTGTCAAATTATTATGACTCTGAGACAGGTGGCTAAATTATGACTGCCTTGGTAAATCAAGCTTAACTAAATACCAAAAAGTTTAATCAGTTACGCAACGTTGACCGTGAGATTGAAGTTGGTGTCGGCGCATTTCGAAATTTCCCGCTTCCACGTACCTCCATCCATCTTCCCTCGAGTAGCAGTACCCAAAATACTTGACCGATTTTGAATAAACTCGAGGTGGTAAATCTGTATTAAATTTTGTGGAATGCTTTTAATTTTACTGTAATTTGGATATTTTATGGGCCTCTTTAGTTAAGGACATAATGATCTTTAGTCGATATTTTTACCTCCATAGCAAGTTTTGACAAAATTTAACATACAACAAATCCATTATTCTAGTATTTCTATGCGTAAATTTTATCAGTTTAGTTCATTTTAAGGGCAATTTTAGGCCTAATTGAACTTTGCTGTAGTAGACATACAGTAAAAGCTTAGGTTCACTGTACTTATACAATGAAATAGTTCTACCTCGGAAACCGTTCGGAATAGGACACGTATACATGTACAGTTTTTTGCTTAGAACGAACGATATTATGGCCTCCCAGAATACTGACCTTTCCTCCTGCGACACTCTATATGTTTAATCTGACCAACTCATGGAACTGAGTCCTTCTTGAGAAGCCGCCAATTATTCAGTTGCTCAAGAATTTCCCAACATTTTATGGAACCCGAAGGTTCATTATCATATTCACAAGAGTCCTCCACTCGTCCCTATCCTGAGTCCCGTCAGGCAAGTACATGCCACCCAATCCTGTGTAAGATCAATTTTAATATTATCCGCCCACCTACCTCTTGGTCTTCCTAGTGGTTCTTTGCTATAATAAAAACAATTAATCTATGAAACCTAACCACGAATCGTACCCAATCGAAAAGAGGCGCTTTTCGTACTTACCGAAGAGGCTGCGGCTGAGAAACCGCAGGATAACCCGGTAATGAACCTGCCGATTATTACGATGAGCTGACTTGGAGCAAAGGCTATGATTATGTAGCCTGTGAAGAGTGGAAGGAGTCCTGCTCTCATGGTAAAGCGTCTACCCCAACGGTCCATGGCGAATCCTCCAAGTACAGTGCCAAATGGACTTACACCCGGCTGTAGGCTGGCTGTAGAGGAGATCAGGTTCATTATGATCTCATTTATGTGTTGTGAATGTAGACGCATTGCGATCACTCAAGGAGCTGCGTTGGTGTAACTCTTACTTTGTTCCGGGCTTTGTGTGGACAAACGGCCGCACCACTGCTCAAGCGGTTAGTCACTGACTTCCCACCGCAACGGCCCGGGCTCGAGCCTGGTGTGGTCAAGTGGGATTTGTGGTGGAAAGAGTGGCGCTGGGGCAGGGTTTCTCTGAGTACTTCGGTTTCCTCTGCCAATCTTCATTCCACCAAATTCTCCATCACCATAATCACCTCGGGCAGGCACAATAGGCCATTCAGTAGCCGACGTGCCGAGTGGACCCAGCTGTACTCAACCCTCCACTATGTGAATTAAAAAAAAAAGATATGTGTACAACGCCCATTTATGTTTATTCTTAACGACTTATCAAGAAGGACTCAGCTCCAGGGAGTTAGTTACATATGATCACTGGAAAAGTTACAGAATTCAAGTACCCGTATTTAGGATACAGGATTTTGGGATTTAAAAAGAGACGTCGAATATTTGGTACAAACACACACTAGATTAAGTGACATAGGAAAACGATGCTTTGGAGATTAAATGGCAACTCAGACTGAAGCGAAAATATACAACAGAACATGGACGGGCAAAAATGAGATATGGATTACGAATAAGGCAACCAACGTCTCGAAGCAGTACAGATACAATTTCTCAGACCTCTGCTGGGAGTTATAAGGAACACAAGCACAAGGGAAAAATCGCAGGTTCAAAATATACAATCTATATGATTTTCAAGGAGATTGGAAAATCACCTGCAGAAAAATCGGAGAGAAACAGATTGCCGATTATAAAATCTGGCAAAAGAGAAGGTCTTCGCAGACAGAGAATGAAAGACTAGTTCCTGGATGAGAGGTGATGGAACAGGCTTCTTAAACTTAAGAAATTCAACTCATTAACATAGAAGAAGAGTACGTAAGGTGCATATATTCTCTGTATGAGAATTCTGACACAGAGGTGATTTTGTTGATGTGATGATAGACAGTCTCGTATTTGTAGATATGATATATTTATATATTAACAACTTTAGCTTTTTGGCTGTATTTATGTGAAGAGGTTATTGTATATTTTCGTTTGGTGTTATGCATAAATACAAAGCACAACCATCGATTTTTAACATCTTTGCGCATGCAGTATCCATATTACTGATACAAGTACAGCGAACTAAAAAAAATTGAAGTTTCCAAGACGGTAAATATTAAGATGGTGGTCTTATGGTTCATGATGCTATGCAGTTTCGTAGTTGGTTTACAAACCTTTCGGAGGAATGTTCTGCCTCCATCTTGAGGGTGGAAATACTTAGGGCTACGGCTGAATATCCGCTTGCATGTCTACCTAACAGACCAACCAACGAATCAGCCAACCAATTAAGTAACGAAATTAATAATTAAGTAACTAACCAATTAAATAATAAATTGACGAAGAAATTAGGAGTGAATAAGTAACAAACGAAGTATTTTTTTTTTACTGCTAGTGGGGCGGGACTAAGTTCCTTGTACTGCGGGCACTTCTGTCCTATTGTACCAGCCCCAGATGATAGATGAGGGTGGTTGTGGAGCAATTGGTGGAATGAAGATTGGCAGGAGAAACCGAAGTACTCGGAGAAAAGCTGCCCCAGCGCCACTTTGTCCACCACAAATCCCACTCGACCAGACCTGGGATCGAACCCGGGCCGCCGTGGTGTTAGCCAGCGACTAACCATTTGAGCTATGGCGCGGCCTTAACAAACGAAGTAACTAAGTGAGCATTTAAGTACTCGTAACTCACTCTCTAGTAATAGAAACCGTTTCAGCTGACAATCCAAATTTGACTTTGTAACACTTGTTTGCTGTCAAATTACCCACTGTGTCCAAGTTACAACACCTCTGTGGGAGTTATATTTAGCCTTATCTATCCATGCAGGGGGGAGGCACTATGCTAGAAGCCGGAAGGTCACCGATTAGATTCCCGATGAGGTCATTGAATTTTGTTTCAATTGAATTAATCTTTCCAGCCGCACTATGGCCCTGGGGTCGACTCAGCCTCTAACAGAAATGAGTACCAGGACTAGGGGAAATTGACGGCTATCGCGTAAGTCTGACAACCACATTGCAATCTGTGTGCCGATTATCTAGAGAAAATGTGGGAGCCTCGACGTCTCACGACCATATGGACCTCCACGACCTGTTACAGCGATAGCTTTACCTTCGCCTTTTACCTATTTACATACCTATCCATGATCCTGTTTCCTCGTCTGTTGGTATGGAGCTGGCGTTGGACTGAAGCTGAGGCAGCAGTATCGCCGAGAAACCCACGGTAGCACCCAGAGTGGCTCCATACAGAACTACCGCACCCACGCTGAGGATCTTTAACATTGCAACACCTACCTTGTTTGATTCGTCGTTAGTTTCGAGCATTTTAGGGAATTTACAGAAATGTGAACCAGAAAACAAATTGAGATGTCTCTAGCTTGTATATTTTCTTGCAAGAGTAAATAAACGTATTAGGCCCTACATTTAGGAATGGTACGAAAATCAATAGAGATAAGTTAAGTACAGAATCACATAAATATCTATTCACCACGTCGAAATATGAGAAGTGAAGGATGGGATACTACAAGAGTGGAAACGTCCCTCGCGGTGGTTTTCGGATTCCAAAACATGCGGGCTTGACATGGAGAATTATTCTCTGTGCAATTAGAATAATATTTGTAGCTGGCGTTTGGTTGCAAGTCAGATATGCATAGTAAGAATTCTGTCTTCTGGGATATAACGCCATGCAGTCCGTTGAAGTGAACCGATGGACTGCACGGCGTTATGTCTCAGAAGATGGAACTGTTCACAACTATCGCTTTGAGAACCTCAAACCATACAAATATTAGATTGTATTATATGTACTGACTTCGTCAACCCTATCAATATATCGAAATATATGAAAGTAATAACACCACATTTATGAATTATTAGTGATATATGGCTGCTTCAAGTCCAGAATGGGGTGATTTTATAGTATGTGGAGAGCTAATGACACTGGCACTTCTGTTTCCCCTGCCAATTCTCATTTCACTGGCAGCTTCACGCTCGTCATCGTCTATCATCCGCGCCTTGTACAGTACAACAAATAGTGGCCGACGTACCGAGGGGACTCAGTCTCACTCCCCCCCCCCCNGGCCTTGCGACGAGCTGATCACCCGCCCAAGGAGTCCTACCGAATGTCTAAGATCTAGTAAACCGAAGCGAAACGGAGAGTTTCATGGAGGTAGGCCTAGGCCCAAATGAGGGCTGTAGCGCCAAAGGAAAAAAAAAACATTCATACACTTTGTACATGTAGTGAGTTGTGACAGCTATGACGTTAAAGTGCCTAGGAACCATCAGGAAGACTTGTTCAGAGCCCAGCACGCGCTGGGACCAGTCAGCTTTCTAAATAATGAGCACAAAACGACCACAGTGTGAAACAGACCACCCACCTCTGATTAATGCCAAGATCGAGAATTCTTAAACTTTGCAGTCTACCTACCCATTTGCTATGATGCACAAATATAACGAGAGTTTATTTCTGTTAACTGTAGTAGGCATTGCCCTAATTGCTATTGCAGTGAACATTCTTGTGCTTACGTTCTGTATGTACGTATATGCCGGTCACGGTGAACTGTCTTTGCTTGCTCGGACGCTGAGATCATGGGTTCGAATCCCACTTAAGGCATGAATGTTTTTATTCTGTGTTTATATTGTCCTGTGTTTAGGTAGAGGCCTGGGACGAGCTGATCACCCGCCCAAGGAGTCCTACCGAATGTGTAAGATCTAGAAAAACCGAAGTGAACGGAGAAGTTCATGGAGGTAGGCCTAGGCCCACTGGGGCTGTAGTGCCAAGGAAAAAAAAGTACGTATATGCCGGTCACGGTAGCCGCGCGGTCTAAGGAGTGAACTGTATTTGCTTGCTCGGATGCTGAGATCATGGGTTCGAATCCCACTTAAGGCATGAATGTTTTTATTCTGTGCTTATATTGTCCTGTGTTTAGGTAGAGGCCTTGCGACGAACTGATCCCTCGTTCAAGGAGCCCTACCATATGTAAAAAATGGTCTACGGAACTGAATAAGAGGTCAAGTCCCTGAATGGGCTGGAAGAGACATTGAAGAAATGTACGTATAGTACGCTATGCGCGGGCACCCGCTAGTCACAATCTTTGCGCTTGGTCTGTAACATTTTTACGGACTGGACTAAATAAATTGTTTCTAAGAATATTTCAAGAATTGGTGTTCATGTTAGCGGCCTCCGTAGTCTAGAGGTAACGCTCCTACCTCATGACTCAAGGTACGCGGGTTCAAACCCGGCGGAGGTTCATGGAATTTTTAAGGGCGGAAAAATTCAGGGAACAAGTCCTCCGGGAGGGACTTTAAGCCGTGGGTCCCGTGTCGTAGCTTTACGGCACGTAAAAGAACCTCATGTCTCTAGGAGACCTCTGAGCTAAATTACAGGCCCTTTCCCGCCCAAGTAGTCTCCAATGCCTCTGGTGGATGGGGGAAGCATCAAGGTACCGGGGCCCGACCTCGATGGCTCTACGGGGGCTGATGGCACGCACCGTTACTGGTAGGGTATGGCGACAGTAGAAATTAAATTAAAAGGGGGACGCACAATGGACCAATAACTGGTCTAAGTGCATGGGGACCCCCCCTCTCATAATACNTGGTGTTCGTGTTTATTTCTGCTTTTTAGTAGATTTTTGGCACATTCGACTTTTATGGCAGTATCTAAATTAAGATGGACTCTTGTAGTGGTGTCTTATTTTAGTAATAGTCCAGCACGTAGGCCCACTTTATCAGTCCTCTTATCGCGACACATACATGTAAATTAGCGAATGCTATTCTCAGTATACCCATACTGCTGCGATTCGTTCTGTCGGATACGTCACTACCGGCTTTACTATACGGATTTCAGCACTGCAGATGTAAAAGTAAAAAGGGTAAAGCTATCCCTGTACCAGGCCGTGAAGGTCCATAGGGTTGTGAGACGTTGTGTGTCCCACATGATATAGACAATCTGCTCAAAGATGCCGGCAAGGTTGTCAGCCTTACGCGCCGGCCGCGCTTTACTCCCCAGGAAAAATTATTTAATTAATTCCTGTACTCATTTCTGTTAGAGGCTGAGTCGACCCCAGGGCCATAGTGCGGCTGGAAGTATTAGGTCAATTGGAAAAGATCCAATGACATCGTCGGGACTTGAACCCGCGACCTTCTGGCTTGTAGCATACTGTCTGCAATATTACCTGGTGAGCCACTGCACTGGCATTCCAGCTGTTTATCCCTCCTTTCTTCGTACAGCCATCTTCAAATGCTTCCTTTTCCATATAAATCGTGTTTATAGCTTTGATTTCGTTAAGAAGGCTTTAGTATATATATCTGCAAATGAATACAAATAACTTAATTGAGACCTTCAAGATAAACATATTAATATCAGATATATCTTAAGGAAATAGGCTGTCGGGATGTGAATTGGATTGATTTAACTCTGGATCGTGCCCAGTGGCGGAAGTTACGTTGTAAGCAATACCACGTACATTTGGATTTACTCGTACTGTACATGTTTTAGGATTGCTTCTGCCTGTGTCCCGCATGATTTAATTATATAATCATATATGAAAATAAATTTGAAAGCCTCTTGCAATTCGCGGACTTGTTTGCACACGTCAAGGTTTGAAACAGGGCAGAATGTTCTGTTCTGTAGGTGCTGCAGTTTCAAGAGGGAGGAGTCAGCCGCCTACTCCCAGTTGGGACAGGCATAAGTCATAACTGACCTGGTCAGAGCTTTGTAAGCGTCAGTTGTACAAGTACAGTTTGTATTTAACGGTCATTTTTGAATGTGGAATAGACCTTCATGTACGTACACAAGGTACTGAAAACCGTCACAACAAAGCAATCAATAATACGTGTAAGTAGCTCTAAGAGATACTTTTGCTACATGTTTCGGCCTTCACAAGGCCATCATCAGGCAAATACATTAAACTTTTCGTTATTGAATTGCATGTCAAATATAGGACACACTGCTAAACTTCCAAGTGTATACAGTGTATAAAGTGATATGAGTGAATATAAAATATAAATTGCAATAAAAGTTGAAGTCTTAAAATAACAAGTCACTTAGTCAAAAGTACAGTTGAAAGTTGTATATGTGATGGTATTTGGAAGTTGGCAGCTGCAGTCGTAATACAGTGGAACCTCGCTTAACGAGCATAATTCGTTCCAGAACCTTACTCGTAATGCGAAACACTCGTTAAGCGAAACAATTTTTCCCATATAAATTAATGTAAAATACGATAATGCGTTCCATGCCGAAAAAACTCAACAAATTTTATATATAACGTTTATTCAAAGAAAATTATATATACATTGTTAAGGAGCGTGAATCATCTTCATCTTTTCTTCTATGTAGAATGAACCAACCTGGAATGCGAATTCGATTTACAGAAAAAAAAAGTCCATATGAGGAGCAACCTTTCAACATCGTCGAGAATATTCTTGTAGATATTGTCACTCCCTTTGAAGCACTCCTCCCTTGTTCTTGAGGATAGTGCAAATAGTTGATGTAGACCAATTGTATGTGCGTGCTAGATCAGCCACGCTCACACCTAGTTCTCGCTTTTCAATGATTTTACGTTTCCTTTCTACGGTTATTTTTAGTCTCTTATGGCTGTCTTTTTTTGGATTTTTCTTCGGGGACATTTTTGCAAGGGTTATTAAACTTTGCACAAAAAAAAATCATAAATAATATGTCTGAGCACAAGTTTGGAAAAATGTGTGATCACAAGCGACACTAAGACGCTAGCGGAACGAGTGCTAAACACAGACTGATGTAGCAAGCGCACAATCCGGGACTTCCCCTCTCGTCACTCGTTATGCGAAACGTCGCTCGTTAAGCGAGTCATCTCCTTACAATTTGTTTTGCTCGTTATGCGAATTACTCGTTATGAGAGGTGCTCGTTAAGCGAGGTTCCACTGTATATGTAATGCTTATACGGATATATTATGTACACAAAAGCTGATGTGTTCGGAGGCTCGCTGTTATATTGTATGTTATTATTTAATATTTGATACCTGGAAATAATATACCATTTTAACCATTATTGAAATACTTAGTGACTGTACGTATATGGTACTGATTGCATTATCCTTTTACGTACGGACTTTTAAATTGCCGGGAGCCCTCTGCGGCCGGTATTTAAAGCGCCCTAATTAATTAACATCGCAAACTTTCAGAAAAAAATACATATTTTCCGTTCTATGCAACATAGAAATACGAACTAAAAACAGTCTGAAAGACAATAAAATTTTCTACATATAGTCAAAAGAAGCAGTCCACCTCACACAGAGCGACACCACCCTTTATACAATAGAAGAGCGTGCTCCTGCTTTTCTTATTTAGCGAAACACACGACAACGTCTTTGTTTCCCTTTGCTTGGCCAGTGTTGTGAATGTTTCACCTCCAGTCAACTCAGTTGGGCCCCCTTATAACTGTGGCCTTCCCCCGAGAAACGCCACTGGCCGTGATATTTGGCTTGTGCGATTGAAGAATCATCTTAGGGGAAGGGGGGGTTTCTAGCAAAATCGAATAAATTTTGTTGATTGACAAAGCGACACTCTCACCTATTAGTAATACTCACAAAATATTGATGCAAAGTAATTATAATACTAGTCGAAATGAGTGCCAGTCCGACACTGATACCGAAAGTCGCAGTGGCGAAGATGCCTTTTACTCACAAAGTAATACTGGCTCAGTGGGTTTATACCTCTTCCAAGACACAAAATAAAAATTATATATAAAGACATATATGAGTCTGACACTGACTTTTTAACTGATAAAGAAATATATATGAGACAAACACCGTCTTAAGTGTAACAATTTAATTGTAGTTCTTTTTTCTTTCCCTCCTCCACACTACATGTTTCGGCCCTAAATGGCCATCATCAGGTGTGTATTCTTACGTAGCTGTTACACTGCCTGTTAAAATTTAAATTCACCAGTCTTTCTAATTGTATAAAATCTTTGTTAACCTACACGCGTTAATTTGATTTCTAAAATTAGCACTTTTTTAAAACTTTAATTCAAGTTAAAATGTCTGTAAGATTTCTGTTCTTTTTCTTTTTCAAATTTTTAA